AGCCTCCCTCCCGACGTTGCCTCTGAGCAAGTGCAGAGTGCTTTGCCACAGGGAGCGTTGCGGGTGGATGGGGAGGGGAGAGCCTGGGGGAAACCTCCCTCCCGACGTTGCCTCTGAGCATGTGGGAAGTGCTTTGCCACAGGGAGCGTTGAGGGTGGATGGGTGGGGAAGGGGGAGAGAGGCTGGGGGAAGCCTCCTTCTCGACGTTGCCTCTGAGCTTGTGCGGAATGCTTTGCCGGGAACTAGCGCTGCTAGGTGTCTGGAGATGCTCAGCCACATCCAGGTCAGGGTTGTCCCAAAAGGTGCTTTTTTTCAAAAGGCAACTGGACTTTCTTCGCATTAGAATAGAATAGAATAGAATAGAATAGAATAGAATAGAATAGAATAGAATAGAATAGAATAGAATAGAATAGAATAGAGCTGGAAGGGGCCTTGGAGGCTTTCTAGTCCAGCCCCCTGCTCAAGCAGGAGAACCTAGGGTTAGGGTTAGGTCACCATGAACTCGGAGAGCAAAATGGACATGGCCAACAAATTTGGAGTGCTTGGGTATGATTAGGAGGGCACTGACTTTTCTAGCCTGCCCTATCTATGTTTCCTGGTAAAATACATGGGAAAATCCCATTGGAGGAAAATTCCACTTAGGGTTAGGGTTAGGTCGCCACTCATAGAACAAAATGGACCTCCATCCATCCATCCATCCATCCATCCATCCATCCATCCCATGGTCAAGTCATTTCAATTTGTGTGCTTCACAGCCAGATCCCAACAAATAAACTTAATTAAGATGCTGGCAGTAAAATCGGAAGTCGCAGTCACATGGTGTCTCCTTTAGCGACCATGGGTGATTCATTTAACGACAACATCACTTAAGAGTTGCCGATCAAAACTGAGGTAACTGAGGACTTGTCATTGTTGATATTTCACTCCAGTAAAACAGGATGCTGTTTTCAGCAATTGAAACGTACTCTTTATCATTTTTAAAGTTTCCTAGGAGAATTAAACCACAAAATGTACCTATTAAAAAGGGGGAACGAAACAGAATTGAGATATATCAGCCTGGAAAAATAACATTCTCTAAAAAAAAGGAGACGACCTATCCTGGCTGATTAAAATATGAAACTTTTTCTAAAATGTCGGTAGAAAGGACAGAACAATTTTACATAACAAACTAGGACAGCCTTAAACAATCTTAAGGTTGCGTCTCAACCTCTGCAACCTTAGGATGTGTGGACATCAACTCCCCCGCTGATCTAGTATGACCTATTAAATCAACTGTCCTAATATGAATTCACATTTTTTTTTAAAAAAAATCCCTTAAAAGTGGCAGGTTTCAAATTCACAAGGGACCTGCTGAGTTGCTAATACAGTTTTTCTGCATTAAATTGAAATAATCGTGCAATTGATTTGGGGGGGATAATCCTTCCTGCTTACGTCTCAGCGGGATGATGATGGAGTTAATCTGTTTTTATGCAACGTGTTCATTATTTTCAGTTACTGGAGTGTGTGTGTGTGTAAATGTCCTTCACTAGTTATGGGCTGCTTTGAGTTTGCTATTTTTTTTTTTTTTAAATTGCATGTTCCAACACAAACACTAATAGTTCAGCACCACTGGAGGCCATTAGATGAAAGATATAGACTTACATTTGAATTTCTGTTGTTAAGTGAGACAGTTGTTAAGTAAGTTTTGCCCCATTTTATGCTCGGTTGTTAAGGAAATCACTGCAGTTGTTGAGTTAGTAACACGGTTCTTAAGTGAACTTGGCTTCCCCATTGACTTTGCTTGTCAGATGGCTGCAAAAGGGGATCACACAACCCCGGAACACGGCAACCGTCACAAATATGAGTCAGTTGCCAAGCGTCTGGATTTTGATCACGTGACCTCAGGGATGCTGCAACGGTCCTAAGTCTGAAGAATGGTCCAAGTCACATTTTTCAGTGCTGTTGTAACTTTGAACGGTCACTAAATGACCTGTTGTAAGCTGAGAACTACTCATACATGAACTGGCTTCGTTTTTTGTCTGATGCTCATTGTCAATCTCTAATATGGATGTAATGCTGAATAAATATTAATGGATGCAACAAATCTTCCTCCTTCTTTTCACAATTTTGTGAACCTCTTTGTGACTTTAAGCATCTTCCTTCCGTCATCAAGCCACCGCTGTTTTTTCACACAACCCTGTGGGTCAACTCTAAAAGTTGCTCTCTTGTATACACTGAGCAAGGGGAATTTATCCTTTTAGTAGCAGCAAAAGCAAAACAACAAAGGACATTTTAAATCTTCTTGTGTCGTTTAGTTATGAGAATGTTACTAGTCAGGGCACCCCTGGAAGATTGTGGACAATCCTACAACATAGCAAAAGTTTTGCTTTCACAAAGACTTACGATCATAATACGGTACGGTATATCCAACAATTTTGGTCTTAAGCTGCGACAGTCATAAAGCGGATCATCGTGTGAAAAGCACTTGATTTCACAAACTTTTTGGTAAAGTTTGTAAACCTTAAGTGAACACTGCAGTCATTAAGTGAACCTGTGTGTTTTTGCGGGAAACTGGAAGAAAATGTTGATGCCTAGCAAAAATGTTGTAAATCGAGATTGTGTTAGTAGTTGTGTTAGACCATTAGTAGTTCATAATTGCTGAACGCCCCAAATGTGATCACATGATTGCAGGGGTTTTACCAGATGTTGAACTTCAAATCTGGATCTTAAGAGTCCCATTTTTGGGGTCTGTCATAACTTTGAAGAGTCATTAAGCCATCAGTTGTGTTTTTGAAATTTTCTACATTATTCCAAGACGTGTTAGATGTTTTGCACCTTATTATGTAGGTGTTAAATTTGCTCCGTGTCTCATTTGCATTTACTAGGGACAGCTGTTGTACTGAAATTCAGGTACTTCGTCAGCTCTTTGCATGTGCAAATATTGTTTATGCAGGATGTAAGAAGGAAGTCAAGCTATTATTCCTGACAAATGTATTTTAAACAGCACATTCAGATTATAAAATGCAAAACTGCTCGGGAGGCTCATGAAAATATTTTGAAAAATCTGCGTATTCTCTAGGCGGGCAGAAAGTTTTTATTTCGGTCGCCTGTGTTGTCGACTAAAAATATTTCCGTATGAAAAGAAACTCCAATAGATGTTTTTCTACTGAAGGAAACCAGGAAAAAATAAAAGGCCTTAAATTAACCCAAATGTTGCCTTTTCCCCAGAATTCTGTACCATTAATCAGAGTTCAGTTGCTTATCTTCAACACAAAGGGGATTCACCACAGGAAGTCTTCAACTTACGACCACGACTGAGTCCAAAATTTCTGTTGCTAAATGAGACGTTTGTTAAGCGAATTTTGCCCCATTTTAGGACCTTTCCTGCCGCTGTTGTTAGGGAAATCACTGCAGTTGTTAAATTAGTGACACGGTTGTTAAGTGGGTCTGGCTTCCCCATTGGCTTTGCTTATCAGAAGGTCGCAAAAGGGGGAATCACGTGACCCCCGGGACGCTACGACCGTCGTAAATATGAGTCAGTTGCCAAGCATCTGAATTTTGGTCACCTGGCCATTGGGGAATGCTGCAACGGTCGTAAGAGTGAAAAACGGTCACATGTTTTCAGACTTTGATCCTTAAATGAGCTGTTGTCAGTCAAGGATTAGCTGTAATGTTTTTTATTTTTATTTTTAAAAAGTTATTGTTAGAAAATGTTAAAAGTTCAGTAAACTGGGTTCTCTAGTGTAAAATTTCTTATAGGAGATCCCTCCACAATGCAACATTTTTGGATTCAGCTTCTATCCATTGCAGCCTGGACTGTGGTTAGGGATGATGGAATCAAACATTTAAATAATTACATATTCCCTAAGGCAGGGGTAGGCAACCTTGGTTCTTTTATGACTCGTGGACTTCAACTCCCAGAAT